CAGCTACTATATGATGAGAGTTTACCAGTAAATGAAAGTAGGTGTCATCTTAAAAGGTATACATGATTGTTTTTCTTTGTTAGAGTCAAATTTCAATTTTTTTATTTCAAAAAACAAAAAACAAAACACAAAACCTTATCTCTATTCTGAATTTTTTAAACAAAAAAGGCCAACTTTCAATTTATCTCAGGGAGGATTTGAAACCCTATCCTTTCTGTTTTCAGATTCTTTTGAAATGTATTGAAATGTAAATATGCTTAAATCAATATCATGTCTACATATTAAATCATTTTAGTCAAATTTGCATCTTGAGCTTAATCTGCAACTTGAAATTGAAATTAATTTGTATTATCAGAGGTTCTTCATCAATTTTGTGAAGGGAAAAGAATTTTTTGGGCTGGTTGCAAAGGACATTTAAATATCTTAGAAGGCTCACTAAAATGAACAGTTGAAACAAAACAAATCATTAATCTGATAATTTAACTAACATGTATATTTAGTGTGCCAAATTTTTATTTGACCTGACAATACAAAGATAATAATGTATACAAATACCTCCAGAAATTTATAATCTATAGAAGAGCTTACAATCATCAGCCTACAGACATTTCTTCAGAATTTAGAAGTAAATGACTGCACAGAAGCTTGGTTTCTTTAACAGATGTAGTGTTTCATGAATAGGTACATAGCATTGTTAGAAATAAAGGGATTTACCCTGCATTACATAATTTTATAAGTTGTTCTAAAAAAACAACAACAGATATCTTTGAAAACAAAAAAAAAACATGGAATATCCAAAATATGGTATGTTTTTAGGAACTATTCTAGATATAAACTGATTTTAAAAAAACAAAACACACAACTCTATTTAAAGAAATAACTATTATTTCTAATAAGTATAACTATGGGTTTTATTCAAGAGGTAACCAGAAGTGACTATGTGGTAAACATTTCATGTAAGTGCAAACAAAGAAAACAGCTAAGATTTAGACAGCATTTTCAATTAATAGCTATATTAATATCACTGGATTAATATATTCAGAATATTCAACAATGCTTCTGATTTGGCAGAGATATGTAAATCTAATATGTTTCTAGAATAGCTTTATAATAGCATAAAATCTATGTACATTTAAATATATTTATTTATAGGATATAAAGTACAGCATAGGGAATATAGTCAATAATATTAAATTAACTATTTATGGTATCAGATGGGTACTAGAGTTATCAGGGTAATCACTTTCTAAGGTATATAAATGTCTAATAACTATGTTCCACATCTGATGCTAAATATAAATTGTATGTAAACTGTAACTGAAAAAATAAAAAGATCATATATGTATGTATTTATATGCATGTTATCTACTATTATAACTACATTGATAACATTTGTATCGAAAAATATAACTCCAGTCATATTCCTAATCTATCACATATTTTTTACATTAATAGTCACATTACTGTATGTGAAAAAATTATTAGATGATCTTGAAATTTTGGTAGGTGTTTTTATTTATTTCTTATTTTAGTTTTTCTCAGAAAAGTTTACATAAATCATTTCTGTACAAATTAATACTTAAAAAGAATTTTGTAATAATTTTTGAGAATGTTCCAAGGAGTGGCTGAATTATTGCAATATCAAGAATATCTCCAACAGCAATAAGAACAAACATTATATTTTCATGAGATACCTAAAATGGTGAACCAAGAAACAGCTCTGAAATTTTTCACAGATTCATAACAGTAAATAACATTTAAATGACTTCATGTCCTCAAAAATGTATTTCAATTTTTACTTTATACAAAAACATAAACATAAACAAGGAGGAACAAAAATATAAACAAGGGCATGTGCTGGAGGGGGAGAGGGGGGGAGGGGGGAGAGGTCAATGGGGGAAAAAGGAGACTTATGTAATACTTTTAACAATGAAGAATTTTGAAAAAAAAAGCTACGATAACATTGAAAACTCTTTGTAAATTTAAATAAAAAATTAAATAAAAGCATGTTATAGATTCTATTATAGCATGTAGGATGGATAACTTATAGTCTTCTAAATTTATGCTATCAATATTTTGCCTAGCAATTTTCTTAAACTTAATATAATTTATTTTACTTAAATAATCAATATGTTCTAATAAAAGAAGGCATTTAATGAATGAGAAAACTGTCATGAATACAATATTATGTTCTGGACAGCCCTAAAAGAGCATTTGAAATTTACTACTCGAGAATGACCAGGTAGTGTCTTCAAAGTGAAAAGCAAGTAAATGAGAGAAGTTCTAAATATAAAACTGAGACTATAAAATTTTGAATGATTCTACTATAGGAAGAATCCAATATGAACGCAAAAGAACTGTCTAGTTAAACTGACATTTTGAAGGAAAAATGAAAAATATAATTTAAAAAGCCATATTTTTACATAAATAAAAAAGAATATGAAGACATGCATTTATCTTCAGGGTCTTGGCCTTGAGCAGGCGGTGGCTCTCGGACACCTTGTCCTTGGCAGGGCGTACTGCATAAGTGTTCTTGGCAGTTCTTTCGGTCAGCAAGGTGAAGTGGCTCTTGAACCGTCCTTCAGCATTCTGCATGTTCTCGTGGCAGCCAGCTTCTCCTACTGGGCACGGATGTCCTTGACCATAGCGGAGAGGTCAGACTTGGAAAACATATCCATCTCGACAGAGATCTAAGCGCACTGGATCTGCTCCTGCAGCTCTGCAATATCCTCTTTGAGCATCTACTTCAGAAAGGTGATTTAGTCCATCAGGCTGTCGATGTGCTTTTTGAGCCCACCGCTGGTGAGAGCAGCTTCATCTGCACCTTTGTGTGCCTCCAACAGCTGGCCCTCGGGTCCTGGCAGATTAGCACCTCTTCCTGGTAGGGTGCCTGTAGGTTGCTCCCAGCACCTTACAAGCCTCGGTGCCTCCTTATAGGGTCCTGAGGCTGCACCCCCAACCTCACTGTCCTCTCCGAGCCAGGGACAGTGCAGTGGGGCGGGGCACAGGCATCCATTTTCATTAAAATGTTCAACCCCAGCCTGCTCCACCAGTGTCCACAGGCGGCCTGGGGGCAGACAGTGATCCCAGAAGCACTGGCTGGCTCCTCCAGAGCTCAGCCACAATGGATGGTCCCGAGTGAGTCAGCCCCGCCAGGACTCATGGCTGTGACTTGGACTCGCTTCCTTAACCAGGGACCTGGCAATGGGTGGGCAGCAGCAAAGCTTCTTCCCCAACCTGCACTGGAGTAGGTCCCTGCAGTTTCAGAACCGAACTGGCATCCGCTTTGGCTGGCTTGGGGCCTGCAGGCTGGGGAAAGCTCTTGCATTGAGTGTCTGCCCCTCGGTGGTCAGTGGACATCATAGCAACCAATCGTTCTATTCCTCATTCTGCTGGTTGTTCCTCTGTTCAGTCAATTTGCATATTATGCTTTTATTATATAGGATAATTAGAGCTCTTCTATACTCATTTAAAAAATGGCATGTTGAATATTAAAAAAAAAGTATCTCAAAATTTACAGATAAATAAAAATTGTAAAACAAAAAACAAATTAGATTCAAGAGTGAATATCCAGGAATATTTTTATGGGGGGTGGGGGGGAGCCTGTATAGCTCTAAGAAAATCCCCTTTGTATATAAAAATAGTAATCATTGCAGTGACATGGCTTTAAAAAATATAAATGAAACCAATTTAAAGAGGAACTTTTATTTACTATAAACAGTATATATTATTTTTGAGGGGTTAGAAATCAAAAGAATAATGATCACAAACTGAAGCTCCTTTAGTTGATATGTAATATGTAGAGTAATAAAGAATAACTATTCTACTCACCTATAATGCTACCAGTAGTTAAAGGTAACAATGATTTGCTCTCAGCATACCCACAACCACTTAAAAATAAGGCAATATTTCCCATAAAGAATTAAAAATGTAAGTATAAGTAGCTAATATGCAATATAACTGAAGGAGATAGAAGGCTCTAAATCCTAATTAAAGTTTAATTAATATATCTAAGGAAATAATGGTTTGATAATAAGTGTGGTTATATAGTTTACAATCAGAACAGACCAAAAACCAACAACTAAAATAAAATCACACATAAAGTTACTGAGGCCTGGCTCATATGCATGTAGGGGACAAGTGAAAGACACTATAAGCTCTGTTCAGAAAGCTTTTTCCATAGTATATGCTGGGAGTGTTTTATAAAAAAAGTTTAGACAATTTTTGATCTTATAATTGTTGAAATTAATGTGTTACATAAATATAAAGTCATTAAATGCTTAGTGTCTCTATCTCCTTTCATTATAAATGCATATTCAAAAAAACATTTATATAATGTTTGAGATTATTTTCAACATAGATCCTCAACTCTGAAAAAAAAATAGGCCATCACATGGTATTTTATGGTTTCTGATAATAGCAATAATACTTTTTTCATGGTAAATAACTACAAATTTGTTAGAGATGGAGTTTCCAGTTAGTTTGAAAACTCAGAGAATACTATTTGGAATCCTAACATTGATACTTTAGCTGTGTGGCAGGTTTAATTTTATGACAAATTAACAAAATTCAGTTTGGTGCCTTCTTCATTCTAGGGATTAGACTCAGTTAATACTGGGCACTGACAAAAACAAGTTTTGGGGCCTTGGAACAAAGTCTAACCCTACCAGTAATGCCATAATTCTAGAAACTATGCCATGGGGAAAATAACTTTATTGAAAAGTTCTTTGAACAATCAAGAGATGACAAAATTCACCATAAGAAAGTAGCATCTTTTCAACTATTTGAAGGATTTCATACAAACAGTGACTAGATTTGCTGTCCAGCAATACTTAAAGTTGATTAAAATGTTTTAAGTAAGAGATTGGAAAATTAAAGTACATAGCTTTAATTAAATGACTTAGACCAGTGATTGGCAAACTCATTAGTCAATAGAGTCAAATATCAATAGTACAACGATTGAAATTTCTTTTGAGAGCCAAAAATTTTAAACTAAACTTTTTTTTTAATACCACTTCTTCAAAATAGATTCACCCAGGCCATGGTACTTTGTAGAAGAGCCACACTCAAGGGGCCAAAGAGCTTCATGTGGCTCGAGAGCCACAGCTTGCTGACCATGGACTTAGATTGTTTTCCAAGAGAGCCCCTCATCTTTGAAAGTATCTGTAATAATCTATAATAGTAAAAGGGTAATATGCTAATTATACTGAATATCTTCTGGACATCATTTCAGACGTCCTTCCAGATGAAGCCTGGGCCCAAAGGAAGCAGGCCAGGTCCCAGGTGCCTGAGGGAAGCTGGTGTCAGCAGCTGGGAAAATAAAGCCTACTCTTGCACTAATTTTCATGCATCATACCTATAGTTTACAAATATTTGGCTATTGGAGAGCAAGGCCAAGAAATAAAAGGGAAAATTGAGGACAATGATTTTCATGTGCTTCAAAACAATGTATAGATTAGTTGTGATTTCAAATTTCTATGTACTTTCATGTTTATTTGCCTGCATCTTATTGTAAAAAAGAATAAGCAAAGTTGGAAAAAAGGGATCATACTTCAACATAATAAGAGCCTTATATGACAAACCTATAGCCAAAATCATACTCAATGGGCAAAAACTAAAAGCATTTTCCTTAACAACAGGAATAAGATAGGATGATCACTTTCACCACTCTTGTTCCACATAGTACTGGAAGTGCTAGCCATAGCAATAGATAAGAAGAAGAAATAAAAGGCATCCAAACTGGAAAAGAAAAAGTAAAACTGTCATTATTCACAGATGACATGATATTGTACATAGACAACCCTAACGAAACCATCAAAAAACTATTAGACATAAGAAATGAATTTGGCAATGTAGCTGGATATAAAATTAACACCCAGAAATCTATGGTTTTTCTATACACCAACAATGAACTCACAGAAAAAGAGAAACTAAAAAAAAAATTCTATTTACCATTGCACCAAAAAAATTAAGATACCTAGGAATAAACTTAACCAATGAGGTAAAAGACACAACTCAGAAAATTACAGGATGTTGAAAAATGAGGTAGAGTAAGACATAAAAAAAATGAAGAATATACTTTTCTCATGGATTAGTAGAATCAACATAATTACAATGTCCATAATACCCAAAGAAATCTATAAATTCAATGGAAATCTCCATTAAAATACCAACAGCATATTTCTCATACCTATAACAAACTCGGCAAAAATTCATCTGGACTAACAAAAGACCCCAAATAGCCACAGTAATCCTGAGAAAGAATAACAAAATTAGAAGAATCACAATATCACATATCAAACTATATTACATAGCTACTATTCTAAAAACTGCCTGGTACTTGCACAAGAACAGACATATAGACCAATGGAATAGAACAGAGAACTCAGAAATAGACCCAAGTCACTACTCTCGATTAATATTTGACATAGGAGGCAAGAGCATACAATGGAATCAAGACAGTCTCTTCAATAAATGATATTAGGAAAATTGGACAGATACATGCAAAATATGAAATTAGACCACCAGCTTATACCATTCACAAAAATAAACTGAAGATAAAGGACTTAAATGTAATACGGAAAACCATAAATATCTTAGAAGAACCCACAGGCAACAAATAGCAGACATATGTCATAGCAATATCTTTACCGATACAGCTCCTAGGGCAATGGAAACCTAGGAGAAAATAAACTAATGGGACTATGTCAAAATAAAAAAGCTTCTTCACAACAAAATAAACCATCAAAAAAATAACAAGAGAGCCTGCTGCATGGGAGAACATATTTGCAATATTATCTCCAATAAAGATTTAATCTTCAAAATTTATAGGGAACTGATACAACTGAACAAAAGGAAGATAAATAATACAATTAAAAAATGGGCAAAGGACCTAAATAGACACCTTTCAAAAGGGAGAATACAGGAGGCCAAGAGACATGTGAAAACATGCTCAAAGTCACTAGTCATCTAAGAGATGCAAATCAAAAGAACAATTAGGTACCTTCTCACATCTATTAGAATAGCTATCATCAACAAATCAACCAATGATTTGCAATGACAACTTCTGTTAAAGATGTGGATGAAAAGGAACCCTTGTGCATTGCTGGTGGGAATGCAGACTGGTGCAGCCACTGTGGAGAACAGTATGGAGTTTCCTCAGAAACCTAGAAATGGAACTCCCATTTCACCCAGTAATCCCACTTCTATGAATATAACCCATGAAACCAGAGACACCAATCAGAAAGGATATATGTACCCTTATGTTCATAGCAGGACAATTTACAATAGCAAAAATTTGGAAATAGCCCAAGTGCCCATAAGCAGATGAGTGGATTAACAATCATGGTACATCTACTTAATGGAAAACTATGCTGCTATAAAAAAGAAGGAACTCTTAGCATTTGCAACAGCATGGATGGGCCTAGAGAGCATTATGTTAAGCAAAATAAAAGTCAGATAAAGATAAATATCATATGATCTCACTCATTTGTGGAATATAATGAACAACATAAACTGATAAACAAAACAGAGATCCAGAGAGAGAAAAGCATCAAAATGACCATTAGGCCTCAGAGGGAAGATAGGAGAGGTCTGGTAAAGGGGTGGTAAAGGGTAAGGATCAACCAAAGGACTTGTATGCATGCATGAAAGCATAACCAATGGACACAGACATTAGAAGAGTGAGAGCATGCGCTTGGGGGAGGGGATATAACAGTGGAGAGGTCAATGGGGGAAAAAGGAGATATATATAATACTTTAAACAATAAAGAAAAATTTTTAATAGTATTCTTTTAAAAAATATATATATATTTTATTGATTTTTTTACAGAGAGGAAGGGAGAGAGATAGAGAGATAGAAACGTTGATGAGTGAGAAACATCGACCAGCTGCCTCTTGCACACCCCCCACCGGGGATGTGCCCGCAACCAATGTACATGCCCTTGACCAGAATTGAACCTGGGACTTTTCAGACCGCAAACCAATGCTCTACCCCTGAGCCAAACCGGTTTCTGCTAAACAATAAAGAATTGAAAACAAAGAACAACAAGAACAATATTCTACACATTTGTTATATCAAGGGAAGTTAAGTTATAAGGAGAAATGCTCTTCAGATTTTTGTAGCAGGTTTGTGTGCTGATGGAGAAGAAGAAATGAAAGAAAAAAGGAAGGTAGGTACTTCATGGTGTGCTGTCCTTTGCTTAATGGAACAGGACATAATTCATCATACAGATGGCAGGATTAGCTGTGGAGAGGGTAAATAATACTTCTTCCACTGTAATAGGAAGAACAATGCTATAACTTCTTCACTTCATTTCACATGGTTAGATTTCTAAGATATATTGCTAATGGGTAAAAATTTCTACAATGTCAAAAGTTTATGGTATATGAAAATAGAGCTTTGAAATTTTAACTTTGTATATTTCAAGAATAAAGTACAATGGAGAGGCACTTTTATACAGTTTATTAGAAAATTCATTGTTAGATACATAGCCACAATGTTCTATCCTTCTCAAACATAAGAAACAGGAGATATCTATTTATAATAATTACACTCATGCAACTAATACAATGTCATAAGATTAGTATCACATGCCATATTTTAAAAGTAGAGCTATAATAATAAAGAAGTATAGCTCAGACTCAATTTGTTAATATTGAGTTCCAGTAATAATAGAAGACGGTGAGTTTAGGAAAAGAAGGCAGATAGCAGGTAATGCCCCTCTCCTTTAAATTGAAAAAAAAAGTAATATATTTTCCCCCTAAAGTTTTATCTTGCACTCCTACCTACTTTCTTTAAAGTGATTTTTTTGGAGTTTAGAAATTGTCTGTTTTAAAATTCTCTCTGTTTATTTCTCACATGTCAATTCTATAATTTAAATCTGTCTTAATATAAGTCAATGTGCCTCGAAACAACAGAGAAGCCAGTTTTTATTCAATCTCATTTTAAATCTTAAATATTTTATCTTCTAAATAACTATTTCATGTTTGCTTATAGGAGAATGATAGTTCTTTTTATATTTATGATTACCATTTTATGAGCTTATTAAATAAAAAGTCAACAAATTTAATAGTACAATATGTAGGTATTTAAGAAATATGTTAGTATCCACATATTTAATGATTTATAATATCACATGCTGCACGATGATTTAGGAGAGGAGTAATAAAAGTTTTTTTTATGGGGACAAGTGATTCCTGTACCATCATTATAATAAAGATAAAATGTTAGTGCTTTAAACTGTTCAGGCTGCTGTAACACATTACCATAGACCATGTGGCTTATAAACAATAAAAATGTATTTCTCAAAGTTCTGGAAGGTATAATGTCCAAGATCAAGGAGCCAGAAAGTTTGGTGTCTGGGGAGAACCTGTTCTGCATGTGTCCCCAAATATCAGAAGGAACCACAAAGTTCTCTGGGGTCTCTTCCATAAGGGAACTAATCCCATTCATGAGGGTTCCATCCACATGAACTAATCACCTCCCGAAGGCCTCACTTGCTAATACAATCACATTGAGGGTTAAGATTTTGACAAATGAATTTTGTGAAGATACAAGGATTTAGTATATAACCATTAGTCCACACAAGAAACATCGCACTTATGTGGCTTCAAGCAATTCAAATCTTTACTAATATATTTTAGAATCAATCAAAATTCCCGAACTTTTTACCTAGGATTTTCTATTTCAAGGGATAATGTCTGTACAAATTTAAAAAGTTAAAATAACAAAAATTATATATTTTCTTGTATCCACATGGAGGAAAGAAAGAAAACTTTACATTTTTCTATGCTTTGTCTGGAAATCAAAGAGCACTACCTGGCAGAGAGCCTAGAGGAACGTGGAAAATGTGTATTTTACTTTCTTCATTCTGCACCTCGTACCTGTCATGTACCTGTGAATGCTAAATAAATAATTGTGACAAAGATAATGATGGCTGCATATTGGCACTGAGAAGAAAGTTATAAAATTTGAATTGTGTTTTGCAGTAACAAGAATTGCAGTCCACTATTTCATAATAATTCAACTGCTAGTATTTCTCACTAATCCTGCGACTTCTAGCTCTGGCTTCATGCCCTTTTTCTACCTTTGCTTTTCTATGCTTTGAGGTGATTCCATGAGCAAGACAAATTAAAATAAGTTTGTTTGATTGCCTCGTTGCCTTTTAGCATGAAACCATGGTTGAATAACTTTTCCTGAATCCATTATAAAGTAAATTGCATTGCAGTGGAATACCATTGCACATTGCCATTCAATGTAGAAAATGAAAGTCTATCAATTGCCTAGAGCTGTGGACGGCAAACTGCGGCTCATGAGCCACATGCGGCTCTTTGGCTCTTGGACTGTGGCTCTTCCACAAAATAACACAACTCGGGTGAGTCTGTTTTGAAGAAGTGGTGTCAGAATAAGTTTAAGTTTAAAAAATTTGGCTCTCAAAAGAAATTTCAATTGTTGTACTGTTGATAGTTGGCTCTGTTGACTAATGAGTTTTCCAACTACTGGCCTACAGGGTTTGATTACTAGTCAAGGGCATGTACTTGGGTAGCAGGTTTGTTCCCTAGCCCTGGTTGGGGTATGTGCTGGACACAACCAATCAGTGGGTCTCTAATATCAATGTCTCTCTCTTTATCTCTCCCCCTACCCTTCCTCTTTTCTACTTTCTCCAAAAAAGGGGATAAAAAGGAAAAAAATATCCTCATATAAGGATTAACAACAACAAAAAAAAGTATTAACTTACATATGTGCTTCAATTAATTTATAATAAAAAAAATATATGGAAAACAATTCCTAGTCAAACTTGGAGCAATCACATTACAAAAAGATATCCTTAAGAAATTTCTTGCTCTAAGAAATTTTAACCCTCATTTACCTCGAAGTTAAGAGAGAACTCCACTAAGAACATATCTAAGCTCCCAAAACTTGAACTAGTATACAGTTCTATAAAAACTCTGGCTACAAGACTAAATAAAGGTCAGTTCACCTAAGAAATCAGGATCTCAAGTGGATTAGGTTAAGAATAAAGTTCAGAAGCAACTGCTTTTACAAATGCCAAGAATTAATGACCACCAATTTTGTATTTGCTAAGCTTGATCTTCTCCTGGGAGAAGAACAGGGCCCTGAACAAGTGCTAATGGCTCTGTGCCCTCAAGGTAAGGTTGGCTTTCCAGTGGTTTGAGTTTCACAAACTAACTTTCCCTTGTCACTTTTAAAATGAATCCACTCTCTGAATCTATGCATTTTCTAAAAAATGTAGAAGTTCTTTACCTAACTATACAAAACTTGGTATCAAGGGACAATAGATTTTCCCTGTTACACTGAGGGGAAAAATGCTCTGTTATTATTTATATCCTAATGTCAGAGGTTTATCTGGCAGGAAAATACCCTGTTTGTTTCTAGAGGTTTGGAAATCTCTAAAAGAAATCTGCAAAATTCTCTCTCCTTAAAAATGTAAGCAATTTGGAGATGAATATCACTGAAGAACCAAAGACCTGAAATCCCTAACACTGTGTGATATTACTAATTGAAAGAGTAATTTAAAATCTCCAAAGTAATCTGTTTCATGTTTCAATTTACTTCTAGCAATGTTACTCTTTATCTGGGTTTGGTCTACACTCAATATGTTATTTCTTTGTTTCAAGGTGATTAAGTTGTAACTCAATTATCTGATGTTTGCCTTTCCTAGACTTCATTGGTATCATTATCATCATCACCATCATCATCATTATCATCACCATCCAACGAAAGACTAAGAATATTGTTTTAATTATTGGTGGCAACAGTATTATAACCATTTATGGAAGGTTTTCTGTGAAGCCTATTCTATGCTAAGTAATTTGGATATAGTTTGGCTGGTGTTGCTCAGTGGTTGAGCATCAATCTTTGGATCAGGAGGCTATGGTTTGGTTCTTGGTCAGGTCACATGCCTGATTTGTAGGGCTCAGACACCAGGAGGGGACTGCAGGAGGCAGAAGGGGAATAATTCTCTCTCATCATTGATGTTTCTATATTTCCCTCTCTAAAATCAATAAAACCATATATTAAAAAATAATTTGTAAATACTTACCTTGTAAGGTAAATATTACCTAAAAGGGAAAGGAAACAACCAAAAGTCATTAATGCAAACATTTATTAAGAAGGCTACAATATCAAGAGCAGCTTAAAATTAGTGTTCTCCAGTGAACAAGTAGCTGAAGGACTTTACAAGACTGATTGGGGCGAGTGAGAATTGTTCACTGTTCAGATTCTTGGAAGGTATATGTTAATCATGAGACACGATGTAGATTCAGGAAGATGGGGCCTCAGTTCAACATTTATTGGCTACTTAATTTGCATTTAGGAATAAGTAGTGATGAGGAACATTTGGAAGCTATGATCCTTGGGGGGATGGCTAAAATACATTATTTTGATTTTCAATGATGGCAATCATCTCGAGTTAGCATTCTATACAGAAGCATTTAAGATTCTGGGAAGCATAAAATATGGGATTACTCTGCTAAAGAATACAGGAAGCACTATCATTAATAGACCATGAAATGATTCCTTAATGTCCCACTTATCTCCCTAGTCCTAACCACTGGATGCAGGCAATTGTTTAAAATGTATTTGCAAATTTTCAAATGATCTTTATGTATCCCTTCTCATTTACGTTACATCTTTATATTCTGTCTGGGTTATAAACTTGGCTGATAAAATATTTACTAAAGATATTCCCAAAGTTTTAAAGTAAAATTACCCTACCAATATTGATCTAAGATTTTAGTCAATTTAAATCTATTATTTTGTTATCCAGCAATAGAAGAATGGAAAAGTATGGAATCATTTGTTGAGGGATAACACACAATGAATTCCTATGCATTTCATCAATGATTACTCTGAAAAAAATCTCATATTGTAAACAAGGAGGACAGGACACTGACCTATCTCCAGAATCTTTGATGCAATCATATGACATCATGAACAATTGCCACTAATTGTCTCCATCTGAGATAATGCTAATATTTAGAAACAAAAATAAATCTAGACAGATTTTGTACCAATTTGTGTTAGTAAAGAGCTTGAGTATGGTTTTTTAAAAATTAATTTATCGGGGTGACATTTGCTAATAAGATTACATAGGTTTCAAGTGTACATTTCTATGATAAATCATCTATATATTGCATTGTTTGCAAATCACCCAAAGTAAAAGCATATATTTATGCCCTCCAATAACCTTAACTACCTCCAACCTTTCCTTCTCTCTGGTAACCACCATACTGTGTCTATGAGTTTCAGTTTTATATTCCACATATAAATGAAATCATATGAGCTTTTTCTCTCTGAGTTACTTCACTTAATATGCTTAATGTCCATTCATGTTGTTGCCAAAGGCAGTATTTCATTGTAGAGAGCCACCTTGGAAGGCACATGGGCATTTCTTTTAATTGTTGCCAGCTGAGTCCAGTCCTAGGATACACATTTCCCCAAGATGGCAGAAAGTATACTGAGGTTGGTGTTCATATCAAGCCCAGGTGTTGGCATGGTGGGTCTAGATATGTAAATCCAGCCAACCTCCAGGAATACTCTGGCCTATTTTAGAATGCAAATAAGCTCCTTTGATTGATATAAAAATAAACGCTGCACACTGCATGAGGTCGTTGTCATGCTGCATCTCCATCAGAGAGGATGTCATCCCACCCAGCTCCCAGCTTTTAAATTTATCTCCGTGTCTTTCTCCTTTCTTTCTTCCTTTCTTTCTTCCTTCCTTTCTTTCTTCCTTCCTTTCTTTCTTTCTTTCTTTCTTTCTTTCTTTCTTTCTTTCTTTCTTCCTTCCTTCCTTCCTTCCTTCCTTCCTTCCTTCCTTCCTTCCTTCTTTCTTTCTTTCTTTCTTTCTTTCTTTCTTTCTTTCTTTCTCTTTTTTTTTTTTTCCTTTTTTTCTCAATCCCTGCCTGCCTCCATTTAGAACTGGTTAGTTCATCTCTCTGTGCTGGATGCAGAAAAGAGAGGTTCCAGCCATGTTTGGCCCCTGCTGCATCTGGCCCCCTGCATTTTTAAAAAATATATATTTTATTGATTTTTTACAGAGAGGAAGGGAGAAGGATAGCTAGAAACATCGATGAGAGAGAAACATTGACCAGCTACCTCTTGCACACCCCCTACCAGGGATGTGCCTGCAACCAATGTACATGCCCTTGACCGGAATTGAACCTGAGACCTTTCAGTCCACAGACTAATGTCTACCACTGAGCCAAACCGGCTTCGGCATAGCCCCTGCATTTTATCCTTTTTTATAGCTGAACTAGAGGCCCAGTGCATGAAATTCATGCAAGAGATGGGAGGGTTTGTCCCTCAGCTCAGCCTGCACACTCTCCAATCTGGGATCCCTCTTACAATCCAGGCAGCTGGCACCCAACTGCTCTCCTGCCTGTTTTCCTGATTGACCCTAACCACTTCTGCCTGACAGCCTAATCACCCCCTAACCACTCCTATGCCAGCCTGATCAATGTCTAACTTCTCCCCTGCTAGCCTATTTGCCCCCAACTTCCCTCCTCTGCTGGCCTGATCAACCCTAACTGCCCTCCCCTGCAGGGATGATCACTTTCAAATGCCCTCCTTTGCAGGCCTGATCACCCTCTACTACGCTCCCTTGCAGGCCTGGTCCCTCCCAACTGCCCTCCCCTGCTGGCTATCTTCTGGTGACCATCTTGTGTCCACATAGGGGCAGGATCTTTGACCACATGGGGGCAGCCATCTTGTGTGTTGGAGTGATGGTCAATCTGCATATTACTCTTTTATTAGATAGGATAGAGGCCTGCTGCATGGGTGAGGGCCAGCTGGTTTGCCCTGATCAGGCTGGGGGTTCCCTTGGGGTGTGGGGCAGGCCCTGTGGTGGTTTGCAGGCCAGCCATGCCCCCCAGTGACCCAAGCAGAGGCCCTGGTATCTTGGGTATATTTACTTTCTACAATTGAAACTTTGTAGCCTGGCACAGAGCCAAGCCCCCTGTTTGCTCCGTGGTGGCAGCTATTTCTGCTTGAATTTGTTTACCTTGTATAATTGAAACTTTGTAGCCTGAAGTGGAGGCTTAGGCCTGCTAGGGCAAGTGAAAAGTTTAGCTTCTTCCGTTTCCAGAGAAACCCAAACCTCTGTGGCTGTAGCCATCTTGGTTGGGCTTAATTTGCATACTCACTCTGATTGGATGGTGGGCATAGCTGGCGGGCATGGGTTGTGGAGCCAAGTGTTGGTTAATTTGCATATTACTCTTTTATTAGGTAGGATAGTATTCCATTGTGTGTGTGTATATATATATATATATATATATATATATATATATATATATCACATAATCTTTATCCAATCATTTAGTGAAAGACAGTTGTTTCCATGTCTTAGCCACTATGAATAATAGCCAGTAATATTTTACAGTGAATAAGTTATAAAAATTTCCCTCATTTTTAGAAAAATTTAGATTGTGTCAAATATTAACATATTCATGATTTATATTAAAGTATAGTAATCATACCTTCATAAACCATACTTTTAGCTTTAACATATAAGTAACTTTATCAATATATTAATCAATGCCTATTATATGCCATTTGGTTTCTTTCCTACAAAAGCTTTTCTACATACTTTATGCACTTGAATAAACATAAGAGCATTTGGTCTATAACTGTTAATTTATTAATTGTATAAAATAATCAATTAAATAAATTATTTATATGTACTATTGTTCCTAAAATTATTAGGGCTCTGATGCTAATGCAAAGATACTTCAAATTCTCAGTTTGTGTTAGTACACAATAATATAGCTGAAGAGTTGGAATAAACAGACAAATAATTGTTTTTCTATATGAAATTAACTTTCAAATGTTCTACTATTGCCTAAATATTTAAGTACATATATTCTACAAAGTAAAACACTATTTATATAAAGAGTTCAATTACCAAAATAAATGAATAGAGATTGATGCTTTACTACCATCTAATCCATATGCTTTGTTCAAGTTTTAATACTTTCTTTTATAGCAAAATAATCAAATTCAATATCACATGAAGATTTTGTGATCTTTAATTTTGAAGTTTCTCAAATCTTTCATTCCATAAAAAGTTTGTCAAATTGGGTTTCTCTTACATTCTCATGCACAGAATCAGATTATGAAATTTCATTAGAAATATTACAGATATAATAAGGTCTTCCTTTCATTGAATTTTATTGACTTTCTCCAAATAATCTTAATATTAATTTTGATCATTTGATTAAGGTGGTATCTCCTAGGTTTATCATGGCAAAATTGCTTTTTCTCTATTTTAATAAATACATATTTTGTGGAAAGATACTTGGCAACTATGTAATACCTTATTCTTTATCAGATACTTTCACAGCAGTTTCAGCATCCATACACAAATCTCTTCTAAATTGTTACTCTGAAGATTGTTGAGTGTGATTTTAAATTTCGATTCTTCCTCCCATATACATATTAGTGGGCATTTCAGCATAGGGTAGAGCTTTCTTCTTCTTCTTCTTCTTCTTCTTCTTCTTCTTCTTCTTCTTCTTCTTCTTTTCTAGTTTACATACAATTTTATTTATATATATCATCTTATTTTATGCAATGGGATTTAATTTGTTAATATCATTATTCATTTGATACTCAAATAGCCCCAGTTTTGGTTAGTGCTAGTTCCTTCCAATGGCTTCTGTGCCCTTTAGATATTTTTCTATCTAATTTGAGTACTTTCTTAACTTCCAGTACAGCAAGATGTCCCTGGCTTATCTCATGCTTTATCTCAGCCCTACAATAAGAGCCCTGGCATCTTATAGTGATGAATTGTATTTAGAACCCCAAATCTGTATATTTGGGATATGCTCTATGCTATTACAGTGCTACTTATCCTAAGCCTCTTATTAAACAGAGATAGGACATACATATTTATAGGTATATGTTTACATCAGCATTTATTTGTATACCTAATTTACAGCAATAATTATTTCTATACTAGGGGCTTTGTGCATGAAATTTGTGCACTGAGAGAGGGGGAATCCCTCAGCCCAACCTGCCCCCTCTCACAGATTGGGAGTCCTCAGGGGATGTCCTACTGAGGGCGAGTGGGCCTAAGCTGCAGACTGGCCTTCCTCTGCAGGAGGCGACCAGGCTGATCAGGGAAAGGCACCAGCCTCATCACCCTGCTGCTGCAGCCACTGCCAGTCACCACAGCCACCAAGATGTTCTCATCAACATGAACTCCAGTCCCTTCACCATGAAAAAATGACAACTTTCTTTAGGCATTTCCAAGATGTGTCTTTTATAGGATATGATATTTCTTTCTTTCTTATCCTCACCTAAGGATATGTTTACATTGATTTCTAGAGAATGTGGAAGAAAGAGAAAGGGAGAGACAGAGAGAAACATTAGTGTGAGAGGGACACTTTGATTGCTTCCCTCCTGCATGAGCCCTGATCTGGGCCCCGGCCAGGGAGGAGCCTGTAACCAAGGTACATGCCCTTAGTCAGAATCGAACCCGGATCCTGTGGTCAGCAGGCCGAGGCTCTTTCCACTGAACCAAACGAGCTAGGGCAGGATATGACATTTCTTAGCTCCTACAGCAGTGGACCTTCTTTTTTTCCCCCAGGAATGTGGTGGAAAAACCCTTGATAACCTTCTTGGATTCTTATTATCCAAGTTACCAAGAACTCTGCAAGTATAGGGAACTTAGCCAATGAGCTGTCAGAAAAGGTGTTTATGCTTGAACTGGTTTGGCTCAGTGGATAGAGCATCAGCCTGCAGACTCTAGAGTCCCAGGTTTGATTCCTGTTAAGGGCATGTACCTTTGTTAGGGTCACATCTCCATTGAGGAGTGTGCAGGAGGCAGCTGATCGATGTATCTCTCTCATCGATGTTTCTGACTATCTCTCTCCCTTCTTCTTTGTAAAAATCAATAAAATATATTTAAAAAACTAAAAAGAAAAGGTGCTTCCTCTGCAGCCCATGTACAGAGGATCCCCTGTGTTGTGTTCACTCAGCTAGGGTGTGTCCCCAGCCTCCAGGGCACACCTCAAAGCACAGCCGCCCCGTATTCACTATATCTGTCGGTTGGGTGGCGTGGACCTGGGCCACTTGGCGTGGAAGCACATGCAAGTGACCGTGGGATGGTTACTTCCTGTCCCACCCCCGGCTGTGAACATCCACTGCATCACCATGGTCCCTTGCTGCTTGTCTTGGGACCCAGCCCACTTGGCGCCCCGGGCCTCTTGTCCCTGGTTACTTGGTGCTGGTGCTTGTAAGCCACTCCTGGCTGGGAGGGGGGTGTTCTGGGAACCCTGTCTCTCAGGGCTTATACTCGGGCCTAGAGGCTTAAAGAGCTCTGGGTCCCAAGGATGTTCCCAGGACTCAGACCCTCAGTGCCTGTATATGCAAATTACCCCGTCATCTTTGTTGGTTTAATTTGCATACTAACTCCTGACTGGCTAGTGATTGAAAAGTAAATGAATAAAGTGCTTTTTATACAAGATAAAAGCTATATCTTCAACATAATTCAACCTAGATACTAACTATGCTTTTTTAAAATAGCTTCACACTTTCATATAATTTATTCTGAGATATTGATGGTTTCCTTCATCAGTCTTATATTCTGTACCATAATTGTTCTAAAGAAAACACTTCAAATTTTATTTAATAAAGTTAATTAATTTTCAATTTTTCAGGAGATTTATTTGATTTCAATATAATTTGAATACAATGGTGGATTCCATTAAGTGACAAGCATTCAGACAACCTTTCAGTAAGTAAAATTATAACAGCTGAATATTTTAAATAGTTATTTTCAATATCTGAAGAATAAAAGGTTATATTGTCATCCTTCTCTATATACTTTTTCACAAAGTAATAAGCACTGTAAATTTTATATTTTAAGAAAGTTGAGTTTTATAATAAGAAGTTATCTGCCATTACAAAATAAATATTAGGTTAGTTAGTTTCAATTTCCCCACCCCCTGGAATTTTGAGTGCTCTTCACAGAAGAGCAACTGTTCAGTATAGCAACACAACATACAAAAGACACCCAACAGCATTATTTTAAAGATCTGTATAGTAAAGATGGCTTATAAAGCCAATTAAGATACATAACACTATAAGTCATTTGTGATAAACCAGATGACATAGATTATGTAAATGTAAAGCAAAAACAAATATTTGGAATAAAATAGAAGCTTAAGCAAATATTCTAACAATCTAATAAGCATCTTTAATACATGCATCAACAGATAAATATTTTTAATATTATAGATGTGTTTAAATAATTTTTTTCCACTTACATTTTCAAGTTGGACATTAAAAAGATCAAGACACTAAAGTTTTAGTTTTGTTATAGATGGCAAATGTTCATGAATGTATAATACATGGTTTTAAAAAACAGGCCAGCCCTGGCTGGTTTAGCTCAGAGGATTTACTGTTGGCCTGCAGTCTGAAGGGTCCCAGGTTCAACCAGTCAAGGCACCTGTCTAGGTTCTGGGCTTAATCCCTAGTAGTGGGTGTGCAGGAGACAACTGATCAATGATTTCCTCTCACCATTGATGTTTCCATCTCTCTCTTTGTTCATCTCTGAAATCAATTAAAAAAAAAAGAACTTTAAAAAAAGCTAATACTGTTAATATGCTGTCTCTAATCTAACATTTATAAATTATATTTAATACATAGTTTATATTTCAAAATTATATTAATTGATATTACTAACAAGGGTAATACACAATTATATGTACAACATATAAGTCTCATAACAAGTAATCAGTTTGTTTTCTAAACAATATGTTATTTACTTTCCTTTAAGTAAACAAATTTATATATTTCTTTTGTTTAATTACTACATAGTGCGAAGCTATATAAAATTTATATAATAAAGTTACTTAAAATAAAAATATCTACCATCTCATTTCTCAAAGACAACTGTTCTATTAATACCAGTAGCCTGGTACACGGAATTCATCACTCAGGGTGGGTGGAGTTCCGCTAGGTTGGCCTGTGCCCTGTTACAGTGGGGGGCCCAGTGATCCATTGCCCCAAAAAGGTAGGCAGGAGCTGGGGGACTCTTCTCCAGGCCTCTGGGCCCTGCCCCCAGGCCGGGCCACATGGAGGCCTCTGCTATGCCCCAGACCTTCTGGTGATGGATTGTGATAGTGTGATGCAAGTTCCTGACAGTGCAAGTCTCCACCCACCGGTGCCTGCTGTGCATGCAGCCTCCTGCTGATCAGTTGTTATGTGTGAGGGCATCCTGACCATTAGCATATTACTCTTTTATTAGAATAGATTGTGGTATGGTTCCATTTACAGTATAAGGATAAGTAATACACATGTCATACATATATATATATATGCACACTTACATACAGATACAATAAAAGTATAGCCTTTTATATAATCTTTTTATCTTAATAACTAAATTTAAATAAATATATGTATTACTTTTTAACAGCTGAATTGTAGTCAATGGCATGCAGAGTATAATTTTTTGAATGAAAACATTTATGTTGTTCCTTTATTTTTATACTATAAACAGAATTATAATAATATTCATACATGTTTTTCTTTAAATATTAACTATGAAATTATGATCAATTATTCTGTTATTTCCCCATTGATCCCTTCTAGATTGCCCCTGCCCCTGCTCCAGGACTTTACCGCCCTATTGTCAGTGTCCTTAGGTTATACATATATGCATGCAAGTTCTTTGGTTGATCTCTTCCCACCCACTCACACAACCTTGTTTTTCCTCTTAGATTCCATAGTCTTTTCCATACCTCTATGTCTCTGGATCTATTTTGTTCATCAGTTTATTTTGTTCATTAGATTTAACATTTGAGTGAGATCATGTAATACTTTTTCTGACTGGCTTATTTTGCTTAGCATAATACTCTTCAGGTCTCTCCATACTGTTTCAAAGGGTATGATATCCTTCAATTTTACTGCTGCATAGTACCCCATGTTATAAATGTACCACAGCTTTTTTTATTCACTCATCTACTAATGGGCACTTGGACTGTTTCCAGATCTTAGATATGGTAAATTGTGCTGCTATGAACATAGGAGTGCATACATTCTTTCTGTTTGGTGTTTCACATTTCTTAGGATATACTTCTATTATAGAACTGGTATCAATGGGACAAATGGTATTTTCATTTTTAATTCTTTGAGGAAACTTTATAGTGTTTTCTATAATGGTTATAGCATTCCCAGCAGCAGTGTATTAGTGTACTAGGGTTACCTTTTCTCCACAACTTCATTAACACTTGTCATTTGTTGATTTGTTGATGTTAGCCATTCTTACAAGTGTGAGGTCATTTTAACTTGCATCTCAAATTACTAGTGACTTTGAGCATTAATTTCACATGTCTATTGGACATCTGAATGTCCACTTTGGAGAAGTGACTATTTAGGAGGGTCCTATACCAATTTTTTAATTAGATTGTTTGTCTTCCTTTTGTTAAGTTGTATGAGTTCCATTTTTTTTATATATTAACCATTTTTAGATATGTCATTTCCAAATATTTTCTCCCATATAGTGGGCTCCATGTTCATTTTGTTGATGGTTTCTTATGCTGTGCAGAAGCTTTTTTTTTTTAATATATTTTATTGATTTTACACAGAGAGGAAGGGAGAGGGACAGAGACTAGAAACGTCGATGAGAGAGAAACATTGACCAGCTGCCTTCTATACACCCCCTATCAGGGATGTGCCTGCACACAGTGTACATGCCCTTGATAAGAATCGAACCTGG